AAAGTATTATCTCCGTTATCACACAAATCCTTTAAACAAAGCTACTGATTGCGAATGGTAATAATAATTTCTTAGATTTATGTGACATTTTATAATCCCCTGAGTATTTTTCTATATATTATGATGTCATAGAATCATAGATCTTCTAAGTTGGAAGCAAATACAATAGTCATCTAATTTAAGTATTATTCCTCTCAAAATCCTGATGAATAGGGCTGCCAGCCTTAGCCTGCATACCCACAGGAGCAAGGAACTCAGTGCCTTCTGATTCAGGGCACCCCACTGCTGGGTACCTCACATACTTTGGAAGGTCTGTCCTTTGTTCTGCCATGAACAGGACTGTTGGTCCCTTGTAGCCCCACCCCTCACTGGGGCTCATCAGTGATACATCTGCGTAATTTCCTGTAGCATGGTTCCTTTTGAAGGAAATGTGTCTTCAAAGGTCTTCTCTTCTCACACATCAAATAAGACATTTCCTTTCTTAATCTATCTTATCACTGATAGCGTCACGATAGCTAACATTTTAATTACAACGCCCACTTTTTGAGCACACTCATGGGACGTCAGGCACTGCACCGTACAGCATGATGCCCGACAGCAGAGACTCTCAGCGTGGACCAGCAGGAGCTGGAATCTGAGGTTCAGGGCTCACTGGTGATGTGAACTTGAACAAGTTACAAAACATCGCAAGTCCCTGGTTCCTCGTCAGCAATGTCTATCTTACAGAGGTATTAGGACAATTAAGTGGAATAATGCATGTGCTACACCTAGACTGTGCATGACACGTGCATGCACACCCTTTTTTGGTACTTAGAAAAACTCTAAGAATTGGGGAATACTACATCAGTTTTACAGAAGATGGGGTTGATTTGGCCAAGGTCGTAAAGCTAGCGACAGACATTGTTCCACCTTGGAGTTGACTTCCAAGTCATAAACCCCCTTAATATAACCATGGATTCCATGTAAGGAAGGAGTCTTTGTAAGACCTTACCCATATAGCTTATAATTTAAGCCAGCAAGTAATGCATGGAGAAGAGGAATTGTGGTGTACTATACAGATTAAGGGTGGAGATCCTGAAGTCAATCCGTGTGGTGTAAAATATTGCTTTTACCACTTAACCTGTGTGTGCCCAAGTCACACCACTGGCTGTTGATTATATATATCTCGGGTTCCTCAGTTATGAAGTAAACCTAATAATAATATCCACCTTAAGATTTGTTGTGAGGATTAAATGTAACAATGCAAGTAAAACAAAATTTGGAACACTACCTAACACTTAGTCAATATTCAATAACTGCAGATATGGTTATGTCTCTAGATCAGTGGCAAAGTAACAGTAAAAACAAGACTAAACCCAATGTCTCCTAACTCCCCGATCAGAGTCCATTAAACCTTGCTGCCACGGCAGTATTGTGTGCCCATGATGTGCCAGGCTGGATATTAGGTACTATTTAAGCATCTATGTGTCTTTCACCCTTCTCAACAACCTAATAACCCTTGTGAGGTTGGTCAGACCAGTTTTGTTTCACAGATAACAAAACTGAGGCTCAAAGAGGTGAAGGGACTCCCTCAGGGTAAACACATCATGGAACAGGAAGTAAGAGAGACTGTGAATTCCCCACCGCTGCCCTCTCCTCTGCGTCACGCTGCCTGCATGGCTGAGGCATGTGTGTGACTGCTCAGAGGAGCTGACGCTGGAGCCACGGACTAGATGAGATGACCCCCACTCTCTCTTTCTGGCTTGAGTTCACTGAGCATCCCCTCATTGCATGACCCTTGGGGTATTAATAGTCAGATGAAGCAACCTTCTGGGACAAAGCAGATGCTCAACTCAGGCCTTAAGAAGCCCGAAAGAGGGCGCTGGCTCCACTCCAGTGGGCCTGAATGGCAACATGTTCCAGTGACTGAGCTGGACCTGGTTGCCCTGCGTGGGTGGGCAGGCTGCGTGTGCTAAGAAAAGGGGATGGAGAATGTTGACCTCTAGGTTTCTTTCAGATTTGTTTAAATGATTTAGGTCTTCTCCCAAACCATCTCAGATCTTCACCAAAGACGAAAAGAGTGTGAAGTTTGACAGAGTGACAGCCATGGTCTCATGAGGAGTCGGCTGACCTGAGTTTGGAATCTTGGGGAAAGCTTCGTCCTAGAACTGTCCTCTTCTTAGCCACGCAGCCTTAGGCAAGTCAACTAAACTCACTGAGTCTCAGGTTTCTCATCTGTGAAGTGGGGAAACAGATCCCAACCACTATGAAGGCCATTTTGAATGGCTGCTTTGGTGGGGGATGGGGAATAGAGGGAGCCCCGTTTTTAATTTTGCTGAGTTGTCTGTGGCCAGAACGGCAAGGACAGTCTGAGCCACAGGGAGGCCTACTCTTCAGGCCAAGCCCCACTGACTGGCTGGGATATGTACATATCCTAGCCTCTATCTGGATCTCAGTTTACCCCTCTGTGAAATACAAGGACATAACACATGTCTCGGTAATAAAAGTGCTCCTAGTACTAAAAGCGAATGCTCTCATGTGCCAAGCTCCTCTGACCCAGGGCTTGGGGAACCTACACAGTAAGTGTTAGTAGAACCTTCATTCACAATTGACTAAAACAAGCCACAGCAGGGTTACAGACGGTGCCCAAGACCACTCAAAGCGTTGAGTTAGTGGCCCAGTGGGACGTTACGTCCAGGCACTTGGGTGACCTCCATGTCACCCTAACTCTAGATAGAGGGCTGTGTTCACTGAAGTGTGTCCCACCTCTGAGAGGCTGGGCTGCCATCGACAGCTGCCTTGGGGTTCATCATTTCCTGGACATGACTGTCTCCTGAGGATAAGATAAGGGCAGGAAAGGGTGAGATTTGGGAGCTCAGAAGGAGGAAAAGAACCGGTGGGCCACTGTAGCGCATGCAGAGTGGGCCACAGGAGCGGCTCTGCCAGCCTCATCCTAAATCACAAAGAACTTCAGAGACAGCCGGGTCTCCGTGAGTCCTTCCTTCCAAGCTGAACTCACTGAGCAGAAAGGAAAGGTGAGGAACACCTACAGTCCTTGCGGATTGGTCTGATTCTGTGGAATTCGCGCTGGGCCTGGAGGCAGAGGAAGCCCATCCAAGACCACTTAAAATTGAGATAGTGCTATCTCGGTTACTGGGTTATAGCAAGGATGGATGTGCCCAAATACAGAAAATGCCTAATTAATATTAGCTAAAACCAAGTCTCTCTCTCTCTCTCTCTCTCTCTCTCTCTCTCTCTCTCTCTCTCTCTCTCTCTCTCTCCCCCCCCCCTTAAAAAGAGGAGCAGTCACACCCCCTCAATCCTTCTTAACATCAGATGATGCCCGTGCTTCACGAGGAGCTCAGCAAGTACCCTGAGATGGCAATGGCAAACTTGCACCCCAAAGTTAGCATAGAGGCACCCACTTGGCTTGACATGTGGCTACATCGTTCTCTAAATATATATTTGGGAAAAGTCTATCACACTCACTGCATGAATAACACAAAGGCCTTGATTTGCTCCTTCACGTGATGAGCATGCATTAGGTCCAAAATTAACATCGCTGTCTGGCTGGGGTTTGGGTGTGTTTTTCCAAAAAGAGAAAACTTCCAAGCCATTACTCAGCCCTCATCAGAATGTCTAACGCACAGCGTCAGTTGAAGAGGAACCAAGAGAACAGAGCAAAAGCTAAGATCTGCTCCGTAGAAGACTCTTAAAAAAAAGAGAGAAAAAAAAAAGAAAGAAAATGTTGACTGTTGCACAGAAGAAAGAAACGAAGAGGTGGGTGGTAGCTTTACTCGCTTGAGTGGCCTCATGGCAATCACTTCACCTCTTCCTCACACAGGTTGAGAGTGACATTTCCTACCCTCATGCGTCTGGCAGAGCTGCACTAAAGGAGCAAACCATGTAAGCGTGGGCTGAGGAGTGAAAGGCCCTGGGGGACGTCAGTTATAGCTATTATCTGATCTCTTCTCCGGCCAATTAGACCCTGTACAGTCTGCATACTAAATATGTCTTTTCCTATCTACCATGCAACGTCATTAATCACAGCTCTTTAGAGGAACCATGCATATGAGCCCACATCCATTTGTGACTACCAGTCAAGTGATTTCAGCCTTAAGTAGCCTTCGCTGAGGAGGTGGCAGACTCAGAGAGTTCCAGATTATGGGACCGACAGAGATGGAAGTTCACTTTACTTCTCTGTGCCTAGAACATCATCTCCAGTGTGGAGGTGACACGCCTAACTCCATGCACACTTGGCAAGAACATAATGAGATAAGGTCCATCACGTGTCCAGCACGGTGCTTGATGGGGGTAGACAGTCATTAAATTCTCACACTGAGAGAAAGCGTGCAGAGAGCATCATTAAAGTTTTGTAGCCTGACACACCTGGGACGGAAGAGCACTTGCCTCTCTTACCTGCCGTGTGATCTTAGGTGAGGTTTTCTGCTCTCTTCATAGTATTCCCAACTACAAAGTGAGGGCAGTGAGGGGCTTCTGTGTTCAACTGTACCAGCTAGGTCCAGCCCAGCTTCGGGGACCACCATGTAGTATCTACACTGCAGGGGGTGTTACAAAGGTTAAACCACCTGGCACATCAAGGGCATGTGGGAAAGAGCCACCCCATTCCAATTTTGTTCCGATTTTGTTTGTTCAGTCATTCTTGGAAAGGCCAGCTCTATTGAACCTCAGCCCTCAGCAAAGCAGGCCAAGCACGTGACAGATGTTAAACAGTTATTCCCAGCGATGTCGGCCAAAGGCCAAGGAGTTGGAGACCCTTGATTTTCTTCTCCAAAGCACAATTAGTTTGTCACAGCTGACAGGTGATGGATGGGTGTGCATCAGTCCAAGTGACACCCCGGAATCCACCTGACCTCGCTTCATCGTTCTCACCTCTCGCACTCGGCCAGCTCTTTCCCTCCATCTGCTGAGAGTGTCCTGCCTCCCTCCATCCTCTCTGCCCCTTACCCTCCCCTGTCCCCCGGACCCCCGCTCCCGCCACCTCAGTCCCACTCACTCACCATCACGGAAATGTGGAGAATGTGCATCTGCTCCTCTACAATCTCCGAGGGCTCCTGGAGAGTGGGGGCGGTGGCCCGGGCCAGCTGCCCAGAGCTGCTCATGGAGACATGGAAGTACAAGGTGCCGTTCTCCAGCCACTGCTGTCTCCAGTGCACCAGCGAGATATCAGCTGCCGTGCCCGACATCTCTGCAAGACAAGACCCAAAGCACTGGGTGAGCTGCGTGCCCGGCCTTCGTCTCCCAGGACAGGAAGCTCAGGAGGCACCTGCTTTGCACCAGGGCGCCTGTCCTCCCATCAGATCTATGAGCCAGATGTCATCATTTCCACTTATAGATGGCTCAGCTGTGGCCAAGTTTCACCCCAAGCAACAGAACCGCAGAGGCAGGATTTGAACGCAGGCTTGCCTGTGCCCCCATCCTTTTTTTTCCCCAAAAAGGGAGTTTCACAAGAGGGGTGCTCTGAGCCTGTTTCTACTGTTTCTGTCAGAACAGCTCCAGTTTTTGGTAGTCTATATACTGCACTCCTAAGCAAGGGGGTGCTGGCACAAGGTTTCCGTGGCTTAAAAATACTTGAGGGCC